TATCCCTTATTATGATTTTAATATAGTTTCATCTAAGTTTTGACTGTTATTAAGGGGTTTCGTCCCTCATCTATAGTCACTATGTTGCTCGTATATTATTCAAATTTAAATAATGTGAAAAAAAATATCGGTGAGTTAATTAATATTTTTAAATGAAATCTGAAATATATTACTAAACAAAAAATCTTTCCATTACACAAGTTGGATGCATACATTGACAAATGCTCTTCCTTTGCTTATCAATCGTGACTTTGGTATTTAAATGAATATTTCCTCTCTAAGTAGTTTGCGTTATTCATGCGCAAAATTTTTATTTAATGATAATAATTTGCATCATTATAAATACAGAATCTTATTTAAAGGAGTTATTTTATAAACCCTGCTTTGAATCTAAAGAAGAAAACGTAGATTCAAGATTTGTAAATGAAATTAAATTGATCAAAGGATATAAAACAGAAATTTGTACATTAAATGTGAGACCACGACTGTTATTGAAGCCAAATGAGCCTTCATGGTGGAATAAATTAAAAAAATTTTTTAAGGATGAAGATATGAAAAATGAAGCTACACAAGTAACGTTATGTGTGGTTCCATTGTTCAACTTTACAGTTTATTCTGATAAACCAGAAACGACACCTGCCTATTTAACGATACCTGCCATTTTGAAGATTTTGTTAAAATTTATCTTACTCATCTTTAAACCAAGAGGTTATGCTATTAACTAATAAAAAGAAATATAACACTTTTCTGAAACTTATAAGTAATAAAAAAGGTGGATGGTTATATGAATTATACGATAATCCAGCAATAGAAGCATGCATCAATTTTAAATGAAGGGCAACGAGAAATCATTTTAGCGTCATTTTGCATTATTCATAGCCTTTTCGTTCATGTTTGCATTAGTTTCTGGAATAATCAAAAATGTTGGTTTTGTAATAGGAAATTTAATGTATGGAATATTTTTTTATCTTGGATATTATCTTTTAGCAATGGAAGTTATACAATTTAATCACGAGAAATCGAAAAATTATTTTACCATATATAATGTAATTAATATTACATCAATCATGCTTGCGATAGCTACAATGATTTTCTTTCTTGTTAGGAAATGATTATAGCAGTTCAGAAGAAATTCGAAAAATCATTATTATGCAAGCATTCGTGATCTTACTTTTATGGCTTGAATTAGTAAGTATTACATTTGTTAAATTACTTTTTTTTTAATTATCAGTGATTTTAATTTCTTTATTTATTTCTCTAGATATTACTGATGTGATACTTTAAAAGTAAATATCTTCATTATATTCATTTATTATGTGACTAAAACTGATCATTTATTATTATTATTTTTTTAAAAAAAACTTAAAGGCACGTAACATATATTAGCATGATTTTAAACATTTTAAAAACTATTATGCCATTCCTAGTTTTTATGGTAAATTTAATCATAATATGATAAGGAAGAGCATGTTTATAATTTTTTTATTAATTTTTTTACTTTTTTTTTAAAAATAAAATATATATAGTTATTGTCGATCGTTGCTTTCAGTCACGCAATAGTATGAAATGAACTAATTTGTTTTTTTTTTGTTTCATCTAAGCTTTATTAAAAAGATCAAACTCATAAATTCCATTTACTTTTTTTAAAAAAATATTTAATTCAAATAAAATTAGCATATCATATTAAAAGATTCTAGTCGTATTAAATTGATACCTAATGGTGACACCTTTAATATAATATTACCAAATGATGATAAAATCGTGAAAATTACACAAGACATTAATGTTATACAACCTGTCAAAAATTATTATAGATCATTTGTGTATTCTGTTATGGGAGCTTATTTTTGGATCCTTGGTAGATGGGATCAAATAGAGAAATGGGATTTTTAGCCCGTCTACTTGATCAGTATAGGTAGATATTTCACATATTGTATTTATATCATCATGTTAATCATTAAGTTAGTAAAACTTTTTTTTTATTCTTAGGAGCAAGTATTATATTGGTCATTATCATGCAGAATTTGTTGATTGCATTTATGACGGGTGTTTATGAAGATGCAAAACAAAATGGAAAATTGGCAGTGTTAGGTTATAGAGCAGATTTGATCGCTAATTATAAAACAATGGAAAACCAATGGGTAGTCATAGAGGGAATCCAAAATATATTTATTATGTCAGAAGTTCAGAATATCAGAAGGCATGGTTGGATAGAGCCAAAACTTATAGAAAAACTCTTAAATCTTTATCATTTAAAGATGTTAGTAGTAAAGTATTATTACAAGATGATATTTCGAATGATAAGAAATTAACAGAAATGTAAACAGATATTAAATCATTGCAAGATGCTGTAAATACGATTAAAGAACTGATATTAAAAATAAATGAAAAATGAATACTTGTATTTTCATATTTTTTATTATATATATTATATTTTATATAATTTTATTCATAATAATAAAATTATTGATTTTATATGATAAATAACATTACGCTAGGTTTATTATTAAAACTTTTATCTTAAAATTACTAATATAGATCAACACCAATAGTTTAAAAATTAAGCGGTCAAGTCATAACAATCTTTAAAATGCACGCAGTGAATTCTTGAAATTATCTAAAGTCTGATACCTTGTCATATTTTGGGCAATTTATTCACTTTTCATAGGTTACAGAAATATACCAAACTGATAACGCAGCTTGCTGAAAATAAATAAACTAGAATTAAATTCAAAATTTCATTGGAAAAAGAAATAATAATAATAATAAAAAAGATAATTAATCGTTGTAATGATTTCAAAGGAACTGATATTGTTATACTGTACAGAGGATCTCCAAAAGTTTACGCACACTTTTTTCGTATGAAATTTTATTAAGCAATAAGAAATTTACAAATAATAAATAATGTTCTTAGACTATTAAAATATAAATTTTATTAAGGGTTTAATACTTGGTCAGATCACTATTTGCATTAATTACCGCCTGAATTCGTCGAGGTATACTTTCGACTAAATTTTCAATTTTTTTAAAAGTAATTGATTTCCAAGCCTTTCGTACTTGTCATTTAAGTGAGGAAAGGTTAATGAGCTTTACATTTTTGCTCAATAAATAATCATTTTTAACAAAAAGAATAAATCATGTTTTATTTAATAATAAATCTTTTAAAATGTAAAATAAAAGTTGTGAGAAATATTTTCTTCAGTTTTCCATTAAAACTCTGCACTAAATACTGTAAAATTTGTTTAAGTTGAGTATTTTTTCGTTATATTTTTTTGAAAACATCATGAAAATTCTAAGATATATGTAACACAAACAAATCAGGCCATAAATCTTATAGTACATCCCAGTTTAGGATAAAAGTCTAAGGATGCTCAGCTAGGGAAATCTATTACTCAAAATTATGTGATTTTAATAGCTTAGTCTTCATATGATACAAGATATACAAAAATTGAGTTTGTGATTATAGATAATACTATTTAAAGAAGAATTATCTACAGGTATGAATTTTAAAGCCAAGGATGTCAAAACTGAGATTTGATTGGAGAGGATTAGTAATCTTGTTGGGGTAAGAGATATAGTTAGTGGATAGCATTTGATTTTATTCCTTGTTAGAATTATCATTATCAGTATACTGTGAGGCATATGACGAAAGTTAAATTGAATTGAAGTATTAGAGCCAGCCTTAGATTTTTGTTAGCTCTTGGGTTTCCAAATAATTATTCTAACTGAACCCGATGCAGATTTATGTAACACAAATGATAATTTTTTAATTTTCTGATCAACATTGCATTTTAGTATTAAAAGGCTTTCGCTACGCTGACAATATCATTGATATTTTTATTGTTTACTAATTAACCCCATGGAGAAACGAGATCGAAATGTCCTAAATCAATCTATTTGTTGTATATATATAGAGGGTCTCCAAAAGTTTACGCACACTTTTTTTGTATGAATTTTAATCATATTTTTATTTAAGAAAATGATCTACAAATAATTAAATATTGTTTCTAGA